TGGAGAAGGAAGTAAAGCTTGAGTAAGAGTGAAGGTGACGTTGTTACGGTGACACCTAATGAAGTTTGTAACAGACCAATGAGCAAGTAGGTGACATAGTCAAACTGTTACTTTAGTGCACTTTGGTAATGTGTGGTTTTGGGAAACTCAAAAACATAAAACATTGGCTCAAGTAGGTTACTTGAAGATATAATTGATTGGTAGCTGTGATATAACAAGACACAAGTTACAAAACCAAATCATTCAAAGAACAATACATAACCAATCAAACATATCTTTATAAAGTCAAAAGTATATCTCTTAATTCTTCTTCTTCTCTTCACAATTACATCAATCAAAACAGATACAATCACTAGAGACAACACTTGTTACAACGTACCAATCCATTCTCATTGCATCCATTGCATCTTTTAAACACATCTTCTTGTTCTTCAAACACTTTAGTACTACCGCCACAATTAGTACACGGTACAAACCTCGCATCCCCGCAGCATTCGCAAGCTCCCGAGGATTCGCAAACAGGAAACCCTTTTAACATCTCTCCCAATTCGCCTCCATCGTTAAGTATCTTGATCTCTTCAATTCCACCAATGTGGATACCTTTTATAAACACCTGAGGCAAACAAACCGGTTTCTCTTCGCCGATTGCATTCTGAAGCTCTTTTCGGTATTTAGAGTCCATCGAGATATCCCGTTCCTCTACCGCAACCTGAAACCCTCTCAATATCGTTCTTACGCAACAACAATCCTCATAAGTCTTTCGAATCCCTCTCAAGCTAGTGAAGTAAAATACAATCTTGTTCTTGTTTTCGTCTTCTGTTTCAACCAATCTTGGTTTCTCCTCTTGTTCTTCCAAAGTCTGACTCGATGGTAAACTGATCAAAGTCGACTGATTTGACTTGCTGCTACTGTTTTTGCTTAGTTGTTTAGAAGACAATGCTTTCTTGTAAGATGAGATGATGTTAGGATCTAAATCAGAGAGAAACGATTCTTCAGACATATGTTTCCAAAGAGGTTGCTTGTGTTTACGAGACAATGGAATCCAATCTTCTTCTTCGATCCTCACGATTTCGTAAGATTCGTCCAACTTCGACGCAGACCCATTAACACACACGTCTCGATGTACGGTGGGTTTAGCGAAAGATTCCAAATTGACGACGGAATTACACTTACCGGTACCGGAATTCGTCGAATCGAGTTCGTCGTCGAGACCGTTCATGAGCTCCCATGTGTTGATCACTGAGTCAGGAGACAACGAGTCGTCACGTGGCTCCTCTGGTTCAGGTGACTTCATATGAGGCAATGTTTGTTTGTCGGAGTAAGCTCCGTCGATATGGACGGAGAGAAGAGAACCGTAAGTGCTGGATGTAAGAGAGACGAGGTGGTGCGTATCGCCTTTTTTAACCGGTGGATGATGAATCGACGGCATCGGAAATGAGAAAGCTCTCGGGACCGTTGTCGGGAATTGGGTTTTGAATTTCGTCTCCGGAGGTGAATT